GCTTGATGCAGCGGCCGACTCAATTCCACGGTACAACGCAGAAAGTTCATTTTTTATGTGTGTGTGAACATAGGACTGATAGCTCAGGCTAAGGCGTCCGCAATGGCCATTGCTGCGCTTTCGAAGGGGCATCGCCTCAAGATGAACCAGGTTGAGGACCCAAGAGGGACCCAAACGCCTGCGCCAACGTTACCTGCAAGCTGGCTGGCCAGAATGAAAGGACTTTCTCATAGCGCGGTTGGACTCTGTCCAGGATAAGTTCTGGGAAGTCCTGTCTGCAGCTTTGGCTGTGAAATCTCGCATCCTGTAGATACTTGTGATCACTCTGAGGTCCTGGCTTCTCTTCCATTGGTTCCCACAAAGTAAATCGGTGCCTCTGGCGAAGCTTCAGCACAAGATCATTTTATGCGTGTGATGTTAAGTGGTGCAAATTTCAAATCTTTGGATTTGCCACTTCATAGAAATCAGCCCAGCATTTGGGTTCTTCTACCCACAGCCTGGGGCTTCAGAGTCCGCATCTTTTTATGGCAGGCAGGGTGGGGTTGGTGGCGCGTTGGCTGGTCATTGTCCCAATGGTGCCGAACTTACTGATGCACTGAGCAGTAACACGTATCTGTCAGTGTGACGTATGTCACGGAGAAGCCTGCAAGGTGGAAGCTGGTGGACCGCATTCTCTGTCGTGCTGTGGAGACGGGCCACAGCCAAGATGCTTTCATCATGCTGAAAACGGCATTGTGCCGCATGCAGGCCGGTCTTTGATTTTGATGATTGCCTTGCTGTAATTTGACTTTGATCTCAGGCTCGTCGAAAGAGCATTTTCCGCAAGATGCCGGGTCCTTGCCCCTATTGCCCAGTAGGTACAGTAGCTTGCAAGCAAATTGCCTTGAAACGCCCTCGAGCTCGGCTCTGAATAGACTACTGGTGTCTTGGATCTGCATCACGTTCTTCGCATCTAATACCGAAAGGTTTTGTTTGGGAGAAGAGAATTGTCTAGGCCATTTGATGATGAGCGCCGGCGACAGTTGACTTCCAGGAGTCTGCCTCAGAAGAAAGACGCCTTGATGCAGACCCAGATGCTTGCACTCAGCGTCCCAGTTCATATGTTGAATTTAGACACATACATACATACATACATACATACATACGTACATATACATTTATATATTTAACGACTTGTGAACAGACATAGCTTTGTTTGCATTAGACAGCATGCTGGCCAATAACAATCACCAGGCTTTCTTCACTTCTGCCAGGCAACCTGCCTGAGGCTTCAGCAAACATGCTACATCAGATATCAGATGGGGTGCCTGGAGAAGCATTGTCTGCCAGGACGAGCTGAGGAAGAAGCTTGAACCTCTGAGAGTCTAGAACCTGGTGCAAAGACCACTTCAGGTGCCAGTGTGCGACGCATAGGGCGGCAGAGCACCACATCTCAACACTACCGGGACTTTCTCGTGGTGGTTGCAAGGTTGACGCTTTAGTGTGCACGGCGTCCAAACAAGCACCCTTTTAGCAATATGGCTTGTTCTGATATCAACAACTCTTGCAGGACAAGCTTGTCCTGTCAATCGTGTCGGGAGGGCACAATCCAATCCGCGATTACGTGGCCGATGTGCTGCAGGTCCCTGCTGCGCAACTGTTCCACAGCAGCAGTACTGCGTGTACATGAGGCAGCGCGCAAAGATCGAGCTGCAGAGGCAAGTAGCCACCACAACTTCCAATTGCATTCGCGTGTCGCTAAGGTATGCTTGCGTGCACGGCTGAAAGCCATTCCCAAAGCAATCTCAGTTGCCGAGGCGGATCTTTCTTTGATTTTGTTATCTAGGGGCAATGGCCTATGTGCATCTTAGGACAAGTTGCATGAGAATTGTAGATTTTTTTGTCTTATAGCTGGCCGCTTGCTTGAAGGGTCCCAACATCTCCCGAATCTGCAACAAGATGCAAAAACGTATGGATGTTCCTTGGCAATCAGCATGCTTCTGCGCATCACCGTATGCAGTGTGAGTGAGGCGAGCAGGCGGCTCTAGACTTCGGTGAGCAACATAAACTTAAACCACACTGCATGACAATGCTGGATACAATTGCCTCGGCGGTACTGCGACTGCAGCGAAAACGTTGGACGTGACCAGCTTTGTTTGTGGGGGGACTTTGGTGCGTGCCGATGTGTTTGGCCCGTGGCCAACTCTTCTGTAGTGTTAAGCATTCGCGCTGGCAAGTGATGGATGCAGGCAGCTGCACAGGCATTGTCAAGGGAGATCTTCTTGAACAGTGCAGAAGTGCCAGCAGAGTGCAGCAGGTTGACTTGACGTCCTTCCCGAAGCTTGTGATCGGTAGAACCATGTTTCATGTGCCAGGTGTTACAGGAGCAGTGAGTGGTTCAGTGCATGGGAGTGCTTCGTACAGGCCGTGTGGGACTTCGAATGCCACTTGAGGTTAGAGCTCCATGAGCTCCATTCACTTCAGGGAGCAGCACGCTTGACTGACTGCGGGTGGTACAGACTAGTGGGCCCCGACGCTTCAGTTGTACGCCGTTTCGCGCGAGGATTTCTACAGCAGATTACAAAGTGAAATGCTGGGCCCTGTTGTCTTGGCCCAGGCTGACGGCGTTCCTTGATGATCGCTTTGCGTTTTCTTCTGGCAGCTTCGGGGTTTAGCGACTTCCAGTCACAATTGAAGTCATACGCCATGGACTCATTGTCCTCATGCATCTGGATACTCTTTTTCAGGCTGATGTTGTGCTGTGGCCAGAGTTAGCCTGTTCGTAGGCCATCCGGTCCATTGTTGGGTGCACGGGGCGTGCTGTGCCAAAGTTGGACCTCGTGTTTGCCCTGGATGAGTTAGATGCAGGTTTGCAGGCAGGGCATACCTGAAGATTTCCAGTTCTGCGTCTGCTATGGCCTGACTTGAATGAGATTGTTGACTTGGAGGGGACTTGCTCTGACCTGGTTCCTGCGGCTTCTCTGGCACGTTGGTCCGGGGCTCCACGAGTCTCGGCCGCAGGTGGTCTTGACTTCTCTGTCACCTCATGCTTCTCTGACTCCGACTGGTCCTGCTTTGCTTGGGGCTCAGTTCATTGGCATCTGGGCTCTGCTCCCTGGGTCTGGGATGCAGATGATGCTCTTAGTCTTCTTGCCAGCCTTCAGACTGCTGGCACCAGCAATGCTCAGTTTCGGGTCTGGCAGGTTTCGGGTTGGACTGGCTGATATGGATTTGACTTCGCAGCTACAGCCCACAAGCCGTGCTTCTGTCTTCTGCTCTTCGTTAAGGTCGTGTGAGCAGCGCTTGTGTGGCGTAGCGCTCTGGCTCAAATCTGTCTGTCGGCCCTCAGTCCTGTTTCTCTGCTTCACCTGTGCTCTTTGGTGGGTCTGTCTTCTGACAGCTCTGGGCTTCCTGCAGAGAATCGATAGCTTAAGCGGCCCCAATCACTTATCGCGTGCTGTCCCGGCTGCCTCCAAATGGGCGGCGTCAGCTCCAGGAGACGACTCTGTCAGTACTTCTGACCGCCTCTAGGACTCTAGGAACCATCCCAGCACTGCTTCATGAAACGCTTTGCGGACCACATCCGCTGCTATCTGCTGCCTCTAGTGGCTGACGCTGGCAGCCACGCTGCGCCAGCTGCAGCTTATGCGCAACGAGCAAGGCCGGCTCTGCTCTAAACCTTGGGGGGAAAAACCCATCTGGCCGGTCTGCCTCCATGAGCACGGCCACAAGAAGCATTGCAACCGCTGCACGCACGGCGCAGCCAAACAGCGTAAGACTGCCCGGTCTGATGCTGAGGCCGTGCGCCACCAGTAGAGATGTTTTTTGAGCTGCAGCCATGACACGCCTCTTGCAGACAAATGTGTCGTGGGCTGTCTTGTGCGATTTGGGGCTCCCTGGGTTGGTCTGACGCGCTGTGGGTTTCGCCGGCGTGCCGGCGTTTGTGCCTGCTCAACCATCTTGGGGAATGTCCTTCTGGCCGCTCTGTCAGAAGGCATCATTCCACATTGCAAGATGCTGGCTGTACCCTTGACTTTCTCCCTGCCATTCTGGTCGGTTCGGCTTGCCCACATGGATGGCAGCTGGGGGCCAACAACTGCGTCGGTTGCTATTTGGTCGTTGTTAGTAGCTTTGGCATCCCCAGTGCCGCAAACGCAAAGGGGCCAACTCAGGGAGCAATTGCCGGCGCAACAAAAAGCAGGCACTTCACGCCATGACGAGTCTGTTGCTTAACAAAAAAAACCGTGTGTTTGCCCTCATGGAAGGCGTTTGTCTAAGTACAAACAGGAAACAAATTCAAAGAGTTTTGCAAAAAGGGTAACACAGAATTGTGGACGCTTGTTGTGTTTCAAACTGTTCTAGGTGGCCGCACGCTGCGCAGCTGACCTGGGGCTCCTATGCATTTCAAAGGTGCATACTGCAGGTGCTGATGTGTTGCATGCTGGGTTACATGACTTGGCCAGGCTGAGCTCCTTGGTATGCGTGAGGCATCCGTTCTTGCAGATTAACGCATTCTTGCTTTTCCATCAAACTTGACGATGCCATTTCACTTTGCAGGAGGGTGCTGCAAGGCGTGATGCAATTCAGGTCGGCTTTGAATGAGAGCATGTGGCTAGATGCAGCTAGAGTATTTGCAAGCCAAAGTGACATCGTCCTCGCTTATGTACATGAATGAAGCTGCTGTTGCGACTCATGCCCAAAGTGCTGAATATCGCTGAGTTCTGGATTCTGGCATATTCTGGCAAACATCTGGTATCGCTTGCTGTGTTGCAGATGGAAATTCGCATGGAGTTCCGGCCACAATCTGCAGAAGCTCAGAAGTAAGGACTTGACTTTTGCCATGTGGTAAGTTCAAACACACATCCGATTGCTTTGACAATGAAAGGAGGTCGCCGCTGGCCACCTTGAGTCAAGTGAAAGTAGAAAAGTATTGGCGCGCGGCATCAACTTGATTTGACCAGAGTCTGCAAGTCTGTTTCACTCTGAGATACTCTGAGTCGCGTGCATCATGTCAAGCGCAGGTGAGGTCGGATTTCAGCCGCTTGCGAGCTGATCATGCAGACAGCCGCAAATCGGTGTTGGTTCTCAACGAGGCTTCTCTTCAGCTGACTTTGCCACAGGTACCACGTGACAGTGAGCATCGTGTTTGTTGTTTGTAGGTGCTAGCGTGCCAGACTACACAAATTTCTTGGATGGGGCTAGAAACTGATCTCCATGAGGTGCAACGAAGTTGACTACTCAAGCGGCAGAATGTTCTGCTGTGGCAGGGCGTAGTAAGAATAACAGCTTGATGAGTTGACTTTGCTGCAACAGCAAGCTTCTCATGAATTGCAAAGGTCACACTTAAAGATACACTGAACCACTGAAAGCCGTGCATGGACCAAGTTTTCCCTTTCGTGGCTGGGAAGTTCACTGCTGCGTGCAAGCGTCATAGATGCACTCCCTAGAACTAGCCATGGCCCGCGGCCCAGCAATGCTTGGCACCCGGCATCAAAGCAAATGCATGTGTGAGAGCATGTTCTTGTGAAAGCCAGGGTGAGATGCCTGAGACCTTCGGACCCTCTTGGCAAGGAGGCCTGCCTACAGAATGTAGATACATTTTTCAAAGACTCTGACAGCACGAGGCCTGCCACCAGCGGCTGGAGCCGCTTACACAGCTAGCATCAGTGCCTTGGGACGCCGGTCTTCTTGGGATGAGGCCATGAATTGCCCGTTGTTTGGCTATGAGTCCGAGCGTGCTTGTTCACGCAAAACTGACCTGATGCTGGCTTCTTGTTTGAAGTTGGATGTTCATGGCTCAGGCCATCGATGCGGACATGATATGAACATGCATGCAGACGGAGCAGCAATAGCACCTTCAACCTTGTAGCGTGCATAGAGCACTGTTCAGAATCTGACGCAGCAATGACAGCGCCGTCTGGGCAGCAGCTGGCTAAGGTGCTGGCACACAAAGACTCAAACTGTCCAACAACTTGTGTTGTCAAGCCAATTCCCAAATTCCAAAATTCCAGGCTATGAGCGGGATGAACACAAGGTTTGGTATCCACTTGATTCTTGCCTTGCGTCGAGGTGACAAGCAGCATCGACATGCTTGAGCAACAGCTGCGCAGTTTGGCGGACATTGCTGGAAGTTTGGAGCCCTCAGAAGCCAAAGAATCTACCAGAGAAGTACTGCACGGTCTATGTGCACTGGAGCGCGATCTCGAAGCTGCCAAGGAAGGCTACTCTCGGCCCTGCTCCGAAAAAAACTAAAAAAGTCGTGTTTAGTTCAGTGGTTTGCTGTTCCTGTAGCAGCATCTTCGCCTTCTGCAGGCCCCGGTGGAGCTGACCCAGATCACTGTCAGAAGCTTCAGAAGCGCATCGTGGACGCCACCACCAAAGCATCAAGGTTGCGAGCAACGGCTTCCAACAAGCACGCGCAGGCCATGGAGCCGGTTCGAATCGAGGTGGCACAAGCAGTTCTTGCTCGCCTGTCCAAGAAGCGAAAGGAAGAGGATCAATTCGATGCTTTTGCTCTTGCAGATCAGGACAAGGATGGATTTGTCTCCCGCGGCGAGTTTCAGAACTTTGTGAATGACTGTCCCGGGAACTTCTCCCGAGATCAGCTTAACAAGCTATTCGATTATCTAGACGATTCTCGCATGGGCAGCCTTGAGCGGGATGATTTCATGCGCTGCGCTATTGTTTTCTACCGCGTCTCGCGGCCAAATGTTGACCTTGTACAGACCATGGGGGTCGCGCAGGGTAAGCTAGTGCGAAAGCTAGATGTGAACGAGATTCTGGAACTGCTGGAAGGGCCGATCAAAGAGATCAACAAAGTCGTAAGGGTGAAGTGCCGTGCGATGAAGGACGGAGCTGTGGGCTGGGCAACTGCAACTGGAAGCAATGGTGTTGTCTTTGTGGAGCAGAAGCGGGTTCATTTTCAGGTGAAAAGCTCGACAACATTGACCGACGTGCTTTCAGCCAAAGCTTGCACCAGCATACGACAGCTGAAAGAGGGGGAGCTTCTGGAAGTGTTGGTCTGGGAGAGGACCGATCCCACAACAGGGCTCCGGAGATTAAAGGGACGAGCTTTGAGAGACGGCGCCGTCGGCTGGGCCACAATCGAAGGCAACAAGGGCACGACATTCCTGACCATGGTCTAGCTCGCAGACATCCGCAGACTGAAGTCACATTCCTTCGCGCTCAGCACTTGGAACCTGTGGTTGACAAAATGTTCGCAGGGTCCATCACAGTAAAGATAGTGCTGACAGAGGCCCTGAGCCTCGTGTATTTTTGACAGCCTTTCTCCCAAGAAAGACATGCAGGCACTGCAGATGCTGGCACATATGTGCGGATCCTCAGGATTCTGTTTGTCAGCAATGTTTGCAGGGCATATCTCAAACTCTGGTTCCTGCACTCATTCTTGAGGCCCATCAGTAGATTGCAGGCAAATCCAATCTCACGAAATGCAGCCGTGCCTTGGTCGTGCATTTTCACATTTTCATCTATTTTCATGTCCAATGTCTAAGCCTGAGCCAATTTTTTTGCCTCAGGCAGATGCCTGTGCAAGGTCGCGTACGCTCTGCTCTGATTATCCCACAAACAGCAGCACTTCCGCAGCATTTGGCACTGTGTGCAGTCTAAGGTGGCGCTGCGGTGTTGATCTTCTGAGAGGTTATGAATGCGCAAGCCTGCAGCACGACATCTTCGCTTGGCTCCCGACCTGAAACGGATATTGCCTCTTCCATTTCTTATTGACGGCCGGCCTGT